GGCGGGTGGGGGAGGAGCGAGCCGCGGGGACACCTACTAGAGGGGAGCTGCTGCTGCTTTGCTCTTGCGTTGGGGATTGGGATGGTGGTGGTGCGTGCTTTTGACCGGTCAGGGAGGCTGCGGGGGGTGGGGGGTGGCTGGCTATGAGTACTACGGAGATGCCGCTCTGGACAGGTGGGGGGAAGCGCTAACGGAGAGAAGCGGTTAGCTAGCGGAAGGTCATGGCGGGGCGGATGGATTAACATAAACCTACGGCTACTGAGACGTTGGCCATGCATTACCGCCGTATTTAATCTATTTATATTTGTATGTATACTGGGTTTTCGCGGGAATTCATATTTATAATGTTTTTTCTTTTCGATGTGTATATAAAATAATTCAAGGCAATCGCTTAATTTCCTATTGGAATTTGATTATATTCAACTCCGCCTTCTAGCTGAGGGCGACGAGATAGGCCAAACAAAACAACGGCCTCATTGTAACCGTGGTTTATGTTTTGAAAGAAACTTTTATTTTTTCATATCACTCTGTCAAAATAGCGTTGAATTAGTATTACCAACGACGTTTAGTTCACGCCGTGAAGAAAACGTTAACTCGATTTCGTGGATAGCATTTGTTTTCTATTATAATTGGATACAATTAATCTTTATTCGCAGTTATGGCGTGCCGCACAACTCCAGTGAAAATCACGTTCGTATTGCTAGCAGTGCTTAATTTCGTTTGTTGGCGGAGTTTAATTTTAGGCCATAATTGGATGAAGAACGATCGACGTGGTTCGACCGATCGGAACCGTTGATCGGTAAGCTCCCTCGCCACCAGATGAGGTCATGCATCGTGATAAGATCTGAGCATACAAAAAAATTGGACTCGGCCCCTCGTTCCACCATGCACGACACCTAACACCATCTTTCCTGCACCCATGGCTTGTATAAAATCTCGACCCCCGTATCGCTCTGTCGTGACTTATGATTGACACGTCAAGGAAGACGCTCGTTGCAGTAGCGTGCTCCCATGCCTGCAACTGCATTGTAACAACTCACGACAACTCCATTTGTCATGTATCCCCAATGAAAGTGCTAGTTATCCTGTGAAAACGTAGACCTCCCCGATGGTGACTCCCACCTCCCCGCCGCCACCCTAACCCTAGCCCACTTCACCACCCGCGATCTCCAACTCTAGCCGTGTGTTCGGCCATCTTATTGCACCATTATCTCATGTGTTCGCCGCTCTCTCCACTCGTTGTTTCTTCATGGTTGTACACGCGTCCATCTCCCTCGGTTTGGATTTCTCCCGGGGATGGGCCCTACGCAGGAGATAGGGCGCACCTTTCGTAGATCAGTGCAGCCCTCGAATGACTCTGGCCACTTCACTGTGATGGTCTCGTTTGCACGTCACTCGTTTCGTTTGACGGATGAAAATGTGGGACTTGCTCTTGAATCTGCGATCGGAGGTTATTGTTCTTAGCTCAAGGTATCTTTTCTCAATGATCGGGTGTTTTCATTCAATGTCTCATGCAAGCAAGTTGGATTTTTCATCCTTCATCAACGTAGCTTTGTTTGTCCCCATTCAAATGTTATTTTCATCTTTGGGGCCATGGTGCTCCGGATTGGGAGAAGGAATTTAGGATGTGGCAGTCTGAGTGTCAACATGAATGGATTATTGTTAGTCCTACTAAGCTTCGAGCACGTTTAGGTTTAGAAGGCATGAATCATGGCCCAGCTAAATCTTCTATGTGTTCGAGTGCTCCAATGGTTGGACCTAGGAAAAAGCTATGTTTTGCCACGTTCATCAACTATCCTGCTCGTAAAGGATACAATTATCACCCATCTGCTGATGAAGTACAAACGGTACGTGAGGCTGGTTATCATGTTGATTCATTGGAAGAATCCCAAGCTTCTCTACCACCTTTGGCCTCCCTGACGGCGGTGACGTCTCCGGTGAGCTCACCGGAGTCTCTGATTTCCCCCGCCGCAGATCCAGTTTGGCTCGTTTCTACCGTCACCAGGAAGTCCTCGTATCTTTGGCGGCAATCCCAGATCCCCTAGGGTTTCGATCAATTTGGCTACGCCAAATCTGGCTTCCCCTATTGTGATTCTGGACAGCCCATGCACACCTCAGCCCACTTTGGATGACAAGGCCCAACCTGGCATGGGCTCTATGGTCTCCCCAATTTTTATCTGTGATGATGATTAGTTGGATTCTATTTCACCAATTTCTTTACCTTCGCCAAGAGATATAGTTGATCATATGCAAAGTTTTGATGAGATGATTGAAGATATGGCTGCTAAATATATTGGGACTGCCGAAATTGTCTTGGTATGAAACACAAGACTGACATGTGCACGAACAGGGTTCGTTGCAGGCAATGTTTTTGGTCTGGTCATAAAAATAAAAATTGCCCAGATAATAATGACTCGTTGGCTAATTGGATACCTAAAGTCCCATCGCCCAGTTTCGAGCCTCACGCCATATCAGAGTCCTCGCCCGTTGCTTCGGGTTCGCTGCTTTCATCCCCTAGTCCTTATGCTTCACCACCAAAACCACAATCTCAGCAGTCGTCGTCGCGTGCCCCCTCTGCTCCACCACCCGCCACCGACCCCATGGCGGATTTTGCGATCGATCCTCGTTGCTTCTTGCTAGCCGACCATGACATCATCGACGGTGGCGCAGACCGCCTTCCTCGGACTTACTACACCCCGACCCAAGCTCCACGGCGACTCCATGAGGAGTTCATGGTGGCCATAGTGGATCCCTTGCCGCCGCCGCACATGGTGGCCATCAGGAGGGAGAAAGTTCTACACTTCCTCACCGTCAACCAGCAGGTGCTTGTTCGTTCTACCCAAACTTGTTTTCAGGGCCTCGGCTTATTTGAGATGGAAAACCATGTGGTCAGATCTTCTTTTACTCAGCATCCACCTTTTGCTCTAGGTTTAGATGAGGAGGGGGGGTTATTTGTGAGATTTACCCCTCATAATGAAGGGGGGATTTTCGTGCTCTTCATGGTCATAGAACAGGTTGGCTCATGCTGTTGGGGAACGTTGCATGGCAAACAAAAAAATTATACGCTCACCAAGATCAATCTAGGAGATGCACATCTATGAGAGGAGAGATTGGATCTACATACCCTTGTAGATCTCCAAGCAGAAGCATTAAGAAACGTGGTTGATGTAGTCGAGCGTCTTCGCGATCCAATCATGATCCGTCCACAAAGTCCCAATAAAGTGTCGAACGAACGGCACCTCCAAGTTTAGCACACGTGTGGCTCAGCGGCGTCCTCTCCTTCTTGATACAACAAGCGAGACAGAGGGTTAGATGAGACTGGGACCACCACGACGGTATGGTGGCGGTGGTGGCAGCGGAATTTCCGACATGGCTTCGCCAAGCGCGTACCGGTGAAACGTCGGGAGGAGTTGGGAGAGGTAACGGGCAAGGGTCGAAGGGTGGCTGCCCCCAAAGCCTCCCCACCTTTATATAGGCATGGAGGGGGCTCGTGGCTTTCCCTCCAAGGCCCTAGGGTTGTTGGCCAAAGGGGGAGGAAGGAAATCCCACCTTTCCTTCCCCATCGGTCGCTATCCCCCCTTTTTAGGGATCATGATCTTATCCCCTTGGGATATGATACTATTCCTTTTAAGTGAGGCCCTTGGTGCACCTAGACCAGGGTTGTGGGGACTTTCCCCACTACCCAAGTTCATGTGGGTCCCCCATGCAGGTGGGGCCCATTCCGGAACCTTCTAGAACCTTCCCGGTACAATACTGAAAAAACACGATCTTTTTCCGAAACCCCGATAACAACTTTCCATATATGAATCTTTACCTCCGGACTATTCCGCAACTCCTCGTGGTGTCCCGGATCCCGTCCGGGACTCCTAACAACCTTTAGACTTTCCACTATTAATATCTCAATACTACCCTAGCGCTACCAAACATTAAGCGTGCGACCCTACGGGTTCGAGAATCATGTAGACATCACCAAGACTCCTATCCGGTCAATAACCAATAGCGGGACCTGGATGCCCATATTGATTCCTACATATTCCACAAAGATCTTTATCAGTTGAACCACGATGTCAAGGAT